AAAATAAGAGATCCAGAATAGCTAAAGCAATCCTTACAAAGAAGAGTGAAGCAGATAGCATCACTATACTAGACTTTAAACTATACTACAGAGCAATAGTGACAAAAAAAGTATGATATTGGCACCAAAATAGACTTATAGACCAATGGTTCAGAATAGAGGACACAGAGATTAACCCACATAATTGCAGTTACCTCATATTAGACAAAGGCACCAAAAACATATATTAGAGAAAAGATAATCTCTTCAACAAATGGTGCAGGGAAAACTGAAAATCCATATGCAACAAAATAAAATTAAACCCTTATCTTTCACCATGCACAAAACTCAACTCAAAGTGGAACAAGGACCTAGGAATTAAACCAGAGACACTGCACCTATTAGAAGAAAAAGTTGGCCCCAATCTTTATCACATCAGACTAGGCCCCAACTTCCTTAATAAGACTCCTTTGGTGCAAGAATTAAAGTCAAGAATTAATAAATGGGATGAAATCAAACTAAAAAGTTTCTTCTCAGCAAAATAAACAATGTGAGGTGAACAGAGAGCCTATATCTTGGGAGCAAATTTTTACCCCTCACACATAAGATATGGCACTAATCTCTAGGGTGTATAAAGAACTCAAAAAGCTAAGCACCTAAAAAACAAATAACCGAATCAATAGATGGGCCAAGCACCTGAACACACAATTTCAGAAGATGATACAGAATCAACCAACAAATATATGAAAAAATGTTCATCATGGCTAGTAATTAGAGAAATGCAAATCAAAACCACTCTAAGATTTTATCTCACTCCAGTCAGAATGGCAGCTATTAAGAATACAAACAACAATAAGTGTTGGCAAGGATGTGGGGGAAAAAGGTACACTCATACATTGTTGGTGGGATGCAAATTGACGCAGCCAATATGGAAAGTAATATCGAGAATCCTTTCAAAACTGGGAATGGAACCAACATTTGACCTAGTTATCCCACTCCTTGATCTATACTCAAAGGACTTAAAAAGAGCATACTACAGGGAAACAGCCACATCAATGCTTATAACAACACAATTCACAGTACCTAAACTGAGGAATCAACAGATGCCCTTCATTAGATGAATGGATAAAGAAAATGTGGTATATATACACAATGGAGTATGACTCAGCATTAAAAGAGAATAAAATCATGGCATTTGCAGGTAAATGGATTGAATTAGAGAAGATAATGCTAAGTGAAGTTAGCCAATCCCCCACAACCAAATGCCAAATGTTTTCTCTGATATAAGGAGGCAGATTCATAATGGGGTTAAGGGGGAGCATTGGTGGATTAGATGAACTCTAGATAGGGCAAAGGGGAAGGGAGAAGGGAGGGGCATGGGGTAGAAAAAACAGTGGAATGAGATAGACATCATTACCCTAAGTATAGGTATGAAAACACGAATGGTATGACTATACTTTGTGTACAGAGATATGAAAAATTGTGTTCTATATGTGTAATATGAAATGTATTGTAACCTTCTGTCACATATAACAAATTAGAATAAAAAGAAAGAAAGACAGTTTCTTGATGAAGATCAACAAAATCTTGATTCTTTCTGACCTGACCAGATTTCTTTCAAGAAAAATATGATGTCCTCAATGTTGACAGTCACCCTGCTCTGTCCTATAATACTGCCTATTTGCAGATCTTGCTTCTGTTTGTTAGCTTTTGTTCTTACTTGTTTTATTTTGTTTTTCTCTGGAATTCTTTCTGGATTCTAATGGTAAGATAGCTAATGACTTCCTTGGTGAAAGGAAGAGGGTGGAGAACATCCAAATGAGTTCTGTTCATCATGCTTTAAGAGTCACCTGCCTCCCCATCTTCCTCATTTCTTTTTGATATTGCTTAAATGTTCACAACTGCACATGAGAAAATAAACCTCCCTACATAAGAATGATTGAGTTGTCAATTTGCTATCTAAGAACTATTGTAATGAATGTTTCAATTTTAATTTTATTGCATAAAATTACTTGACAAATGTCTTTCTAACTTGAAGTAGTTTGTCCTAAAGATTATTATATACAATAGGCTATTTTTTTCCTTTATTTAGGCATGTATTCTGCAACCATTTATTTGTTAGGTTTAGGTAAAGGAAGTTATTGGTAAATATTTTTAAAATAACTGTGATTACTATCTCTTTGTATCCTCCCCCTTTACAGCTTTGCCAACAGTAGAATAGGTAGAGTCTGATGCTCTAAGTCTGGACAGTCCAGCATTCTGCTTTGTCCAGTAGAATGTCTAGAACTGGCTGTGGATCAGAGCTGAGCCTTCTCCTCTGCATTTTCTCCTTGAAACCTTGATAATCCCTGAAAACTAGTCTGGCTGAGCCTCCTAGAGGATGAGAGAGCAAGTGGCAGGGTGACAGTGGTCCCAATCAAGGCTCTAGAGTTTAGCAAAGTCACTGAAGCCACTTAACCTGACCCATAGCTGACCATAGATATATTTGAGAACCCAGCCAAGACTGGAAAAACTGCCTACTTGAACCCAGGTCAAATTACTGAACTGAAATAGCCAACTAATTGATTGTTTCAAATCACTATATTTTAGAGCAACTTTTAACAATAGCTTATCAATTCAGGAACTTACAGGTATCCTGCATTGTGTACAATGAATCAAAATGCATTTTGCTGTCATATATACCTGATTAAAATAAATAAGTAAATAAATTTTGAAACGAAATTGATTTTTTTGTTTTAAATTCTGGTCAGCACTAAAAAGCCAAATTTGTGACATGCATATAACAACTTTATTAACTACAGACCAGTGTGTTTATGTTTTATAATCTCTCCTGGTCTTTACTCACATTTCTAATTTACATTTAAGCTTGCACAGAATTCTCCCTATTTGTGACACTTTATAAACAATACTTGTGGAAATGAGATTGAGCTAGAATTTTAGTAACTGTCAAATTTGAGTAGGCAGACAAAACGCATGCCCTGAACAGAGGTAAAAATAGTGGGAGAACTGTGTTAACTACTACTGCTTGAACTGGAGACTCAGACAAATTGAGACGCTTCCAAATACTTGCCATGATATGGGAGCAATGTCATCACATTTTGTTTTCATAGCACACTGGCAATGGAAACCAAACTTGGTGAATGCCAAAGCTATATTGCCAATACTAGATTCAGTCATCCGCTATTTTCTCCTATGAGACTATAAGCTCCAAAACACTAGAGAATTTTATTTGTTTTGCTTTCATTACTGCCTAGACTATCAGTAGCTGGTAACTCATGAGACTTAAATATTTTATGATGGATTAATAAATGAAGTTATTTGTGACTTTAAAAAATCAATGTATCACTCACTTTAGAATCCTTATATGCATAAAGACATAGCTTCCTTTATTTTCCAATTGCTTAAGTGCATATGTTTCTTTTCCAACTCAAGGTATTTTTAATAAATTCCAATATTACCTTCCTTGTTAGTATGACATAATAATGTAATTTGTTTCTCTCTATGGTTTTCAAGGTCATTTCTAATTAAATAGTAATGAATCCTTGATGAATCAGAAAATGACTATTTTCTAACCAAATATTTGATGAATTCTTTTTCTCTCTTGGATAGTTTTTGGGGAATAAAATTATGAATACAACTGTGAAAGTTACTCCCTTCTTAAAGATGAATTCATGGTTAGCTCATGTAGTTTCTTATTAACAGACATCTTCATAGCCTGCTAGGATTCTTGGGGGGAAATGCTAATGTCATAAAATGGAAGAGAAGTTGGTGATTCATTCCAAACCAGAAAAATCAAGCTGAACCTTTATGATTTGTTTTACTTCTATTTCTTCTGCCTATGTTAGACACCAGCGAGAAATACGTATATAATAAGAAAATGGAGATTTTTTTCCCCCAAGGAGACAATAATACAGTAGAAGTAATCATACATCAATTCAAGCAATGTCACAAAAACACTGGCAATGCCCTGGAGTTAAGAAAGTCAGATAGATATGATAGATCTATGTGATCATAGAGAAGAAAGCATTTGAGATGGGTTTTAATATTTGTGTTTTATAATCTCTCCTGATCTTTAATTCCACTTCTAATTTATATTTTACCTTGTACATATTTCTTCCCTATTTATAACATTATGTAAGTAAATAATCATGGAAATGAGAGTAAGCCTCTTTCCAAAACTATTGTGATAGTTGCTATAAGGAACATTTTATGTATGCTAATTTGATACAACCAGCAATTAGATGTCCATTTATTTTCAAAATCCCTATGTGTTGTTACTAATGTCAAAGAACTCTATTACCCTTTAAATTTTTCTGCCCACCAATTTTTGAATTCCATAGAAAAATAAAATTAATAAATCTCACATTTCTCACTCAAACAAAAGTAGGCATTACACTTTCTTAACTATTATTGAACAAATTATAATAACATTTTTGAACACTTTATTGAACAATATTTAAAATTATAACATTTTTGAACATTTTAAGGTAGTAACTATTAAGCACACTCTTAAATACATCATTTCATTTAATTATCACAATGTTCTTGTTATTTATCTGTATCATAAATAAAGAAGCTGAGGCACGTAGAATCAAGCACTTGCCCAAGATGAACCATTAGTAAATAGAAGAGTTTGCGCTTGTATATGAATAAGAGCCCATGTCCTTAATCACTCAACCACAAAGACAAGACTCTAGGTGGGAAACCATATCTATTGACTGACTTTGATACTTTAAAAGCCTACTGTATAAAACATACAAAAGTAAATACAGATTATTATTTATTCAATGATGTTAACTCAAAAATCAAAACAGGTATGATTTATTCTTTGGTCGGGGAAGCCGTTATTAATCTGGCATTCACCGAGTTTGGATCCATGTTCTAGAAACCACATGAAAATACCTAAGAAGCAGGTTGGTAAAGTCGGCTGGTGGTGGGAAGGCCGGAAGAGGGCACAGAGGGGGCCAGGAGAAGGGCGGGCCCATTGTTTCGGGGGACCTGTTTCCAAGGGAGGGGTCCCGAGTCCGGGACGGACTAGGAACTGGAGAAGGCAGTCCTCGAGGTGGACGTGGAGGAGCCTGCAGCGACGGTGAGTAGCTCCAAACTCAGTAAGTGGCTCGAAATTCCGCTTTTTCCCAAGAAGATTCTTTTCTTCACACCTTCTCACATTGTCCTGCATCTGTGTAAGGCTCCCAAGGTCCTTGATCCCGAC